AGCCGGCTGTTGACCAAAATCCCAGGCCCTTTTCCACCAGGCAGCTTTCCAGCCACTCTTCCCCAAGCCCGTAGCGCGGCATGGGGTTGTTGTGGCCAAAGTGCAGGACCCGGCACTTGGCCTTGTTGAATCTCATAGTTAAGTTATACTTCACTGTTAGGACTGAGGGGTTTGATTTATCATGCTACCAACAAACTAATTTAATGAATTCTCCTCCCATTAAAAACCTCCCACGGGAGACTACCTGTGCTGTAAAATACAGCAACCATTTTACATCAGACAATAGTTTAAGTAACAGCTTAGGGAAAACAATACCAAAAACTTTTCGTAATTGAAAATGGAAAGGAACATAACAAGCTGCATATAATTACATGAATTCAAATTTAGCCCAGACTTCAGGGTTATCCAAGTCTACTTTAGTGAGGAGTATCATTGAATCAGTAACCACAACTGGTCATTATCCTAGAGGTGCCAAAGGACACTGTATTTGTTCCACTTTGGAGCCCCCTCAAATAGAATTGAATGGTTTTGCTCCGTTTAATCCACTGTTTATTTTACTGTGCTTTTCAAGAGCCGCAATTCTCAGAATACTTCATAAAGAAATCCAAGATTTCTGGATTTCAGCTTATGAATCTGCTTTTGGTTTGCATTTTGGAGCCGTCCTGCCCTCAAGTGTCCTATGTTTGTTTTCCAAAGTTGCTGTACCTTCAGTCTTCCTTCCCACAGACACTGGTGAGATAAGGAGAGCAGTTCTGTTTTCCACTGAGCAGACAGACTTGGACAGCTCACATGGAGTGGGTTTGTGTCACAGCAGTTAAACGCTAACAGAAAAAACAAATGGAACGTTAGGAGTGGAAATAAAATATGTTAACCCTAATGAGAATACCGATTTGCTTTCCAGCAAGCTCTTTGGAGCGGAAAACTCCCACACCTTTAAGCAAAGAAATCTAAAGGAAACACAAGATTTTGGCAGGGATTTTCAAATGACCCCTGAAGAAGGCAGGTATCCAAGTCCCATCACACGGCATTTTAAGTCTCTCCCTATTGTGGCCATGTTTATGCTCAGCCTATTCATGGGAACAAGGGAAGCGTGGGGAATGTCACAGGCAGGCACCCCTGAATTACCGCTGAAGGACACGTCCTGCGTTGGTCAAGAATGGCTCACTTGAGAGAAAGCTAAAGAAATACTGTGGAGGGCGACAAAACATGGACAAAAATAGCTTGTAGTGGAATAGCTCCAGCGAACAGGGCTAGCAGACAAGACATCAAGGTGTTAAAATAACCATATCAAGTAGTTTCATAAATTAGCTACGGGTGTAGTATCCAAGTCTTAGGGTTTGCGCCTGTTGGTTTCCCCCGACAAATAGATAACATCAGCGTTCAGTCTATGTGTCCGTTCACCTGACTTCATGCAGGCAACCATCAAAAGTTTCAAAGAGGCAGGCGAGGAGTAGGAGAGAGGAACCGCCCCGTGTGAGGGGCAGTGGGCAGAGGGGTGTGTCGCACAGCAATGAGCACCTGTCCCTGGGTTGCAGGGTGCTCTGGGGTGGTGCAGGCAGAAGACCCTCACCCCAGCCCCTGCCCAGGTCTCCATGGGATGCGCACCCTTTGGGGACAAGCGCCTCTGCAGACATGACTCTTTCTCGTTCATGAGTTCTTCCATCCCCAACATGGCAGGGCACGGTTTTTTTAGGCTTAAAAGGCTAAAATAAGCCACGGATCTTTCCGCTGCCCGTGGAGCCCAGGCAGACGAGCCGCCTGAGGGCAGGACGAGGAGTCTCAAGAGGCGGGAGACGCCAACCCCGGAGCTGGGCCCTGCCGCTGAGGGGCCCCGGCAAACACCGTGCAAAGTGCCGCTGCCCTGCGCCAGCACGGGCACGTCTCCCCGCCTCCCCTCTCAGCCAAGTGCCACAAAACGCCGCTCCCCCCACGCAAGAAGCTCCACAAGCGGC